TCATCTACACCATTCTCCCCCGGTTCGGAAGGCTTCGCCCTCGAAGCCGATGCGCAGCCGTGACCGGTGTATGGTGTCGAACCCATGATAGTAAACCCCTGTCGTTTCCCCCGATCGAACACGAAGGTCGAATACCTCACCTCCATAGTATTGCCCCCTTGAAATTCATATAAAGGCATATATGCTGCAGTCACACACAGAATACTGAAGTCACCGTGGGGACCAAAAAACAACATCTGTTTGTCAGGTTGCAACAAATTCTCATGGGAGAAAAGCTCGGGCCTGCGCATTAGAAGAACTATTTCTTCCAACAGCTGAATTTTGAAACTCGAAACATGATGGTAATCCTCTAGCCCTGGAGGCTCCTCAACGAAAATCGGCGGATCGTCGTAGAGATCGTCCACTTTGTCGGGAAGACGATCCTCCACCTCTTCGGGTCCTTCATCAAATACAGGCGGACCATCGTACAATGACCCGTCAACTTGCTCTTTATCGAATTCGGAGATGTCAACGCGAAACAGGCCCCCCCACGGACCAAATTCACGATCAAGTCCCCAATCGTGTCGGGCACGATATCCGCCAGCGAAGGCTGCCTCCTCGCGCCAACCTCTATCGCCGCCATGATCGTTGCCGTCCACGAAGCCGTTCAGAGGTGGCGGGAACCACTGTCGGGGCGCCCCGACATGGATGCGTCCCCCACAACCGCCTCTGTCTCCCCCGCGAAAGCCACGGCCCACAGCCCCATCGCGGTTCGTTTGCAATTCCGAAACAACCACGTTGTTAAGCGTCAAATGCCAATCCTCGATCCCCGTCGAAAGATCGGCAAACCAATTTGTGAAACGCACATCCAACTCTTGAAATCGGTAGTCAATCTGTTGAAACCGATCGTTGAAGGTTGCGTCACGTTGTTTGTTTGCGGCATCTTGTCGTCCCGACGGCATCGCGATCGTACTGACTGCTGATACCAACTGATGTAGGGAAGCGTACGAGTGGGAAAGATAAAACGAGTAAACGAGATACTCTCTCGTAAAACACGTAAAATTCAACAATATC